ATAAAGAGTGCTAAAAGAACACCGTGAGAGGAAAACACTTTTCTTCCTGGTTTCAGTGCTCTTTCTAGTTGCTCCATGGTGTGGCTGCCAGAAGTGACCGTTCTTGCTTGTGGGCACCTTCCCGGCCTGTGGTGTGTGGCTGACCCTGTGGCAGACACTCTCCAGCGGGTTTCATTCACATCTCTTAGGGCAGCTTTCCAGCAAGTTTCCCTTACATCACAGAGGAGACTTCCTTTCAAAATTTTCAGCATGCAAACAGGTGGTTTTCTCATCTCCCAGCCCAAGCCTGCAACACCTCAGCAAACGTCTTTGCCACTCAAGTGGGCCATAGCCCCGCCCTCTCCAAGAGGTCTTACTCGGAGCTTTTGGGAAGGGATGGCTCTTCCAAGCTTCTTCCTTGAGCAGGCTACCTTAGACCTAGAAAGAGTGGCTGCTCCTATGTCTGCTGTTCATGCATTTTTAAAGCTACATTGTCCAAAACAGCATACCTGTAGCTACTGACCGCTTGCAATGTGGCTCACCTGGAATAAGATGTATTTAAGTGTAAAACGTATACAGATTTTTAATATTTGGCACCAAAGATAAGGTATGTAAATTGCCTTGTCAATAATTCTTGATATTGTTTATAGTTTATATTGGTTACTTTATGTACTGCGTATTGTTTTAAGAAATGTACAGAAATTATCTCATTTAATTATCTTTTTTNGGAATCAATTATTTTCTGAGGGAAAACATTTGGGATAAATTTTTCTACTTGATATACAGGTCATTTCAGTTTTACAATTTCACTACTCTATTAGCTAAATGTCATATGATTTTATTTCTCTAGAAAATTTTCTTAGATCTAAGTTTGAATATTAAAGTTCTTACCATACGATTGTTCGTTTTTAACACTAAACTGTTCCAGAATGTCATCATCCTGCTTTATACTCAAATGGAATGATGGAGCCGCCTGCTGCCACTGGGGCTTGGTACTCACCTGAAATATGAAATTTAAATAGCATTAATAAAACAAGATCAGGAAAAAGACCTTTTTTTATGAAATGTATAAGTATTTATAAACACAGACATTTCTCCAGCCAACCAGAACATCTGGAAAGGCACAAACACTCAACGGCAAACTTCATTCAAGCCCAGGAATGGTCCTGGTGTGTGACATTTGGAAGACATTACCGAAGGCCCTGCTCCTGGTTTGATGTGGAGGCCTGTTACCTAACACTGGGGACTTCATTCCAGAGGGTATACTCACACCCAGATATTGGCAAGTGTTTTCTAAGCCTTCTATTTTAATGAGGCACTCTCTGCTGGTCTCCAATGCTAATGAGTTCCACTACATTCCAGCTCCAAAAGGTCTTCCTGTTCTCATGGCTTTAAACGTCTCTAGATTACTTTGGAAACTCACAAACTTATTCCACCGTTTAAGGCAGGGGTAATAAATTCTTATACTTACGTGATTTGGGCAGGTATCCTAAAAGAGGGAGGAAGGCTATTGATGATACCTAATTGGCACTCAACTTCAATACTGGGAAGCAGTAGAGGGTGGTAGGGACTGTGGCAGACAGGAGAACACCTAGGTCTTTAAAAAGGCAACAACTAATTAGCTCAAGCCAATTATTACAACACCAGCTCACAGACCCACTGTTACGGGAATCTATGGCCCCTCAATAAACCCAGATGGAAAGATTTTAAAGTAATATGTCCAATTTTTTAATGCTGACAATTGAGTCTGTGTCTTGCTTTTAGATGTAGACTAACTTGACAGTCCATACTTATATTGGCAGGTCCTTCTTCCTAATTTTACTCTCCACAACCCCTTATTCCTGCTTCCAAATAAACTACCTGTTGCACAAAAGTCCTTGTTTCAGGCTGTCCTTTAACAGGGAAATAAGACTAAGACAACTTATAAATCAATGCTTTCCATCTGTCCATCTGCCTTTCCATTCTTCCACTCTCATCTTGTTCCATAAAGGATATAAGATTTGTGGGAGCGCTATGAGTAAGATATGCAAAAAGGGTGAGAATTAGATCACCAGTTCACAGAGGGTGGCAGCCACCAGTGCTGGGTCAC